AGAAAGAAAGAAAGAAAGAAAGAAAGAAAGAAAGAAAGAAAGAAAGAAAGAAAGAAAAAAGAAATTTCATAGCTGCTTCCTCCCAAGCCTATGAAAAAGTAAGGCACAATTAGACAACATGTACACTGGATCGGATCAAGAATTAACACTTATGAAGATAACATTGAAGGGACAACAATGTCCCTACTCTCAACCTGAATTAATATCTGCTAAAGCAGGAGGCCCAAAGGAGTGTTTAGCTGGTCTCTGAATCATCTATTAAATAGTTTTTAAATGCTATTTAATTAGCACCTGCTAGCGTCCATATAATACAAGAATTCTAGCTAAAAGGCCTTAACATGATTAATATTGATTTGCCTAGTACCTACAAATCATAAACAAAAGTGTTCAGAATCTCCACTTTGCTAGCAAATGTCCTGGGATCATATTAATAATTCTTTGTGCTCCCTCCTGAGGGCTTCCTCTTCTTTTTGCTGTTGGAAGAACAGTCTCCATTTTTATTTGTTTCTGAATGGAAATCCCTTGACATTATATCACACAACAATTTCGTTAGATTATGCTCCCATGTGGGTTAAACATTATCCCCATTCTATCTAGAAAAACCTTAGCTATTGACTTGCATTGCCTTGAGTTAGCAGAAGAATTAATATTGCAATATGTGGATAACTAACTGATTGCTAATATCACATATAAATTGTGCATTATTAATAATCCTTAAGGTACTGAATTGTCTGAAAGAGGGTAAATGTATAATATCAGAGAAAAGGGCTCAAAATGATAACCAGCAGATTGTATATAAGATTTGCTATTTCAAAAGAACAAAAAGAAATTCTACCAGATGTATAAAAGGGCTGTTAATTACCTAACAGTACCTACTCTCAGTGACAATTATTGATGTTTGGTGAAATGACGGGGTTCTATTACATGTGTAAACAATATTTTGTCTCATGGCTAAGCCTCTGCACTAGGCCCTAAAATAAGCAGACTGAGAGCATATGGGCTAAATGACCAAGTGTCAGCAAGCCGTTGACACGGTGAAGATCAGACTAGGCTAAAAAGCCACCTTTGGGTTTAACAAACTTGGATGACCCTTTTAGCCTAACGCTATGGAAAGCACAGCCATAAAACTCAGTATTCTTTCTCCAAAATTACCTCAAGTCTCAGTGGCATAATTTTCAAAGCAGTTAGACTAAAGTGATTGGATGACCACTCGGTCTGAGAGCAGTTGCTGCTACATGTGACCTTACACAAGAGGCTGAAATGTTTCATTTGGGTCAGCCCACTATAGTGTATGTCTCTATAATGTAACCACTCCATTAGAACAACCACGTGTGATCGAAGTGGCCAGAAAAGACTTCCTTGCCTTATTTTGAACCATGGGTAGAAAGTATGACATAGCTCACCAGGGAATACGATAGTAGTGTGTAATATCTACAACCACCCTTATCGGGTAGATGCCTTGTATTTCTATTCTAGATCACTGAGCATTTTCTAAAATTATACAAGAGTGTCAACTTTTTGCTAGGTGTTTTTCTACATCTATTGAAATGATAATATGTATTTTTTAAATATTGATAAAATATCAATCCTCAGATGTTAATCCCATCTTTCAATGCTGTGAGAAATGCATCTGGGTCCTGTTGTACAATATTTTGTGTGTTGCTGGATTCTGTTTGCTAGTATTTTTGCAGAGGATTTTCATTCAAATTCATAAGGGATACTGATTGTTAATTTTCCTTGTTAACAATGTTTATGGGCTAGCACCAGGTAATACTGATCTTAGAATAGTTTGATAAATCTTCCATCATTTATCTTTAAGCTTTATTTATTTTTAAATGATTTTATTATTGAGAAGATATATCTCTATAACTCCCAACTTTCCTTCTACCCTAATGCTATTGTGTCCCCACCTCTCCCTCCTAAATTCACAATTTCTTATTTAATTATTATATTACAAATTATCTGTATTTTGCTGTTGTTGTTGCTGTTGTTGTCAGAGCTGAAGCCAGCTGTATTAGTTCCTTTTCTGCTGCTATGATAAACACCATGACCAAGGCAGCATGCAATAGGAAGGGTTTGCTTGGACTTACAGTTTCAAAGGGTTCGGAGCCGTAGTGACAGGGACAGCATGGCAGAGGACAGCAGATACGGAGCTGGAAGCTAGGAGCTGAGAGCTCTTATCTCACACAGCGGGCACAAAACAGAGAGAACAAGCCAGGAATGGTAGGAGTGAACTCTCACACTCCAACCCTGTGACCTTCTTCCTCTTTCATGTAGGACTGACTACAAAGCCTCTGTTCTCTCCGAGTGAAGTAATTTCAGTTATTGCTCCTTTTGCATGGTCAAACTCACTCAAGTTTGTAGATTTGTGTTTCTCTTTTTGAACAACAAGCTTTTGGTAGGGCGGCAAAGATTAAGCGGATTAATGCTACAAGTTTATGTATTGTCTTTCTGTTCTGTTCACTAGGTTATATTTGCATCATTATTATTTCCTTCCTCCCACAAGATTTGCATTGGATTTTCTCATATTTCAGTATCTAATATAGAAGTTCATCTCATTAATTTCAGAACTTCATTCTTCCCCACTCTGGGCCTGTAGAGCTCTAAATCGCCTTGGAAATATGTTTTAGCTGCATGTTGAAGGATGTTTTGATTTGTCATTCATCTCATGGTATTTTTTGACTTAAATTCTGATTATTTTTTAACTCATTCATTATTTAGCAGGCAATAGAATAGTAGTAATTATCATGAATTCTGTTTTCTGGAATTCCATACCTGACTGTACCTCATCTGCACTTTATAAACACATCAACCATCAGAACACATGTATTAACAATCAGTTCACGGTAGTGTTCCTGGAATGTTGAATCCTTAGGCTTTAACATTTCTCTGGAAAAATCCTAATATGTATTTAGTTTATAAAACTATTAAGGAGATGAAGCCTTAATAAATTAAAATTTTGCTCTCTTTTTTCCTACTTTATTCTCTAGCATGAAGAAAATGCATTCATATTCCTTATCTATGTTAGGATCAATGATTGCACTCACTGACTTCTCTCTTCATATTTCTAGGTACAGGAGATCAAATTGTCCCCACACCTCCTGCTGAGGGATGATCTGTATAGATACTGATCTAGTTATCAGTATTGGGAAGCATTTGGTAGGTACCTCTCATGACCTATTTTACAGCCTCTAGGGAACAAACAGCATACTTATGTGTCTTACCTGCCCCACGCCATCATTACCCTTTTTCAAGTTCCCCACTCAAGGACCAGGAAGCAAGAGTTAGCTTGAAGGCTATAGTTGAAGAAGAGTGATCGAGAGAGCCGGTCTCCAGAGGTTTGTCCTTAAATCCACCACCTTTCTGCATAAGGTAGGTGAGGTGTGGCAACAGGAAGGTGGCCACAATACAAGCAGTGCTGTGATCTGATAGAGGAAGACAGCCCTAGAATACAACACTGCTGTCACTATTCAGAGGAAGAGAACCCCAGTACCCAACACTGCCGCTAGTGGTGTTTGAAGGAGAGCACTGTGTAGTGTACATCACTCACAGTTTGGCTCCAGAGGAGGTTAGGCTCAGTGTGCAACCTTGACGTCAGTATGGTCTCAGTTACTCTCCTCTGAAATAACTGTCTTCAATGTCTAAACAAAACCCAGTTTCAAATGATCATGTCTACTTTTAATGCAGCCAGACTCCTCTTAACAAGCTCTCTGAATGATTTCTCCTGCAGATTTGGTCAAATGGAGTTAATTTCACTATGGACCAAAGCTGTTTTCATCAACTTGGCTTTTGCTCTTTATTCCGGTGAGTTTCCAGTCTTGGGTAGAATGCCTGGTGTGCTGCTGTAGGAGGGCAGGACTAGAATGGTTGTTTTATTGCCTTTTCGTTTCTTAAATTGGTAAAATAAGAAAAAGCAGGTTATAAATTCCTTCTAAGTCCCATGAGAAAAGCTGCCTTTCTTTTTTCCTATGGTGGAGAAAGAGAGACAGAATGCTGGTTTACTGTGTACAGTAGAATTTAGTACTTTGCACATTACTAAATTCAGGAACTTTCGACTGATTTTTACAGTTGATATTGTGGGGAGATTTTATAGCTTGCTTGTTAAATGCCAAGTGCAGGGAAGGATTCCTCTTCTCTAGGTCTGGTATGCTTTACCACTCTGAATTGTTGCTTGCAGCTCCCGACCCTGAAATCAAAGATATGCATAAGGAAAGAGCTCGTGACACCTCGGGTGACACTACCTCTCTATCATTAATAATTCATAATGAAGTAGGCGTTAAGTACTGACAAATATCCTGATAACAGAAGACAGAGTTCTAAAGTCACCCTTTGTACAGCACCTTCTTCTATCCTAATTAGGTGTGTTTGCTGTAAATCTTTTCAAAGCTGGCATTTTCACGTTTATTGGAGACTTCACTAGAAGTTATTGAAAACATAAATAATTTTTCATGGAGCTGCATGTGCCTGGCTACTAACTGTTTTTCTTAATTGTGTAGATATGTTTGAGAATTTTGATTTTTGTCACTGGCATAGAATTCTCATCTCATTGGTGGGAGCTCCTGGACTGGATCACTGAGGCACACTTTTGTGTCTGCCACTGTTGTGTCTGTGGCGTGCTTATTTTTAAACCTGTTTTTGTTGTTGTAGAAACTGCTTTCTCAAAATATTCCACGTTTGGAATGCAAGTAAGTTACTTGGTATGTGAGATATAATTTTAAATTTTTTTCAAGTTATAGAATCTCAGTAAGACTGTCTAAAGTAGACAGGGTTTCAAAAAGTAAAAAAGAAAATACTGTTTATGCATGTATTATTATATTAAAGTCAAGTAACATAAGCAAGCAAGTAGCATAAAACCAGATTGGTATGATCTAGGTATGATTGAAGTGATAATGTGTATATAGGAATGTATCTAGAAAAGCCATTGGCAATTATTAGCTGCTCTTTACAATACTGAGATGCAAAAGCATACTCTGAGTAAAATTGTTCATCCTAACAAAGAGAAATAAAGTAGCGTACCAATTGTCAATATTTAGGAGAATAAATAGTAATGACCTCTATCTAATATATATGTATATATATATATATGTGTGTGTGTGTGTGTGTGTGTGTGTGTGTAGATGTATCTGTATACATATATATATACATAATATATCATATGCTAGAAAATGTATACATATATATTCTGTATTGTACTATATCATATTATGGTAGAAATAAATTCTACTTTTAAATGTCAGCATATATAAAGGTCACAAGCTTATGTTAAAAACAAATAATATACAAACACAACTAGCATTCCACCACATAAATTGTCAAGATTTCTAAAGCTATACAAACTAAGTAAATGTAGTGAATATATGAATATTAATTAGCAAAAATTTGAAGAGAGATGGAATAGTCAACAACACATCCAACTTCATGCTTTTGTTAATGTGGTGGGAGTGGTGAAGATCTAACCTGAGAAGGGGAGGCCATTGGAGAAGGGGGGTGGTCACAACATTATAAAAACACAGAGAGAAGGAGGGGCCATTGGAGAAGGGGGGTGGCCACAACATTATAAAAACACAGAGAGAAGCTGCTGCCTTCCCCCACACTGGTGACAGCACTTCATTAAATAAGTGGGAACTGAGAGCGAGCACTGGAAAACCACTGCTTTAGTAAGTACAGAACAGAGCTCTTCAGGAAGGTTCTTCATTTAAATGGCAATTCTGCAATGGCCGAGTTTATGACTTAAAAACATTAGTGAACTTCATTTCTGAAAGATTTAATAATATCCAACTTTTTAGTTCTAGTAAAACTTAGTTGGTCATTTTAAACCTTGTCAGGTTGTTGAGAAAAAAATCAGTTGATATTGTTGTTGAGGTCTTGGCAAAGGATAATATTAGCATGACTAAAGGACTCGTGATAATAGTGTACATATTTAATACACATATACCTAAAATATGATTAAAATAGGTGTCAGTGCTGTAGAACACCCACACTGGACCCACTGGCTTCTCTTTCATGCTTTGTTATGATTAGAATGAATGGTGTGCTGCAGATTTTCACTATCCTGCTTTATAAATAAATATTTGTAGTCACAAATTTGAGAATTCTTTACTAAGTTTCATAGCTGGCCAATGGCCAAATTTGTATGGTCCTGAGGCCAAGAATAATTTTTAAAATTTGTAGATAGAAAAAAAATACAAAAGGTCTTTCTCTATATGTGAACCTTATAGAAAATACAAATTTCAAAGTCCAAAAATGAAGGGTAGAGCCACACTCCTTTGTTTACATATTATCTGGATGCTTTCCTACATCATGGCGGAGTGGAAAGCAGCACCAAAGACCACTGGCTCCCCAAAGCCTGATTTTCCTACCTAGCCCTTTATAGGAATGTCTACATATCTGCTCTATGGTTCAGATAATAAGTACATACGGTTCATCTCCATGTCTACAGTATATGACCATAAGTAAATATAAGTCAAAACATAATAAAGAACAACAACTTAAGGTTTGGCTTTATATATCTCAATACATTTATGTTTATTTACCTGACATCAATTTTTTAACTTTTCTGTTCTAGTTTGTTTTTAGAAATTGAGTAGTCTGTGTTCATATCAACGTTGATAATATTGCCAAAAGAATAGAATGCCTTGGATGACTTCTACAAAAGTATTGAGCCTACTTTATTAGTTACTGGATAGTGGGTGTGTAGATATTTGTTTTTGATCCTACATATACATTATGCTATCTCTTGTTGACTGTATGATATATCATATTTCAATAATATTGTAATCAAATGTTCACTATTAAATAATTTTTATTGTATTTCTTTTACAGATAGACTGTAAACCCTATGCAAATTTTCATGACATGTGTACCAAAGAGTATTATCCAATCTGTGCAAGTAATGGGAAAACTTATTGCAATAAATGTATCTTCTGCAATGCACTGAGGTAAGAATGCAGCAGTAAATATTTGTTCTTCCAGTCATGAATAAAGCATTACACAGTGATATAAAGATTCATATTGTTGGTAATCTAGCCACATGGGATGTTTCAAAGTTAGCTATGTTTTATAAAAGCCAAGGAAATGTACTTCTAGCTCCTCTTAAGAGTATTCCTTGTTAACTGTCAACATATCCGTGCTAAGTGTTCTGCAGATGTGTAAATGGATTAATTTAACTTAATTTGGTGAATTGTAAAGTATTAGTGGTTGAGTAATAGCTATGATGATGTAATTCGGAGACTGTAACATTAGCCAGTGTGTTTCTGTGACGCCACAAGAATCTGCTTTGCAAAATTCTAGCTACAGGCAACATAACAGATGAAGAATCAGACTGAATGCTGAACTTTAAAATTCACTGTGGACAATGAGCCAATTAATGCTCAAAAGAAACGTGTGTCATGTCAACTTTGTCTCTTGAAGTTGCACTGTCCCTCAACACCTTCCTCAGAGCACAGAGCATTCTCAGCAGAACTCCTGTCCCTATGTCCTTCATTCTAAGTGTTTGTTGTCTGAAGACTTGTCAGCCTTCCTTATTCATTTCCTTGTGGGTGTATCTCCTCTTGAAAAAATTCAAATATTTGCCCGTTTGCTTCCAAAGTTATACATGCCTCTTGGCAGACCTGGAATTCCCTAGAGCTCTTCTTTCATGGATCTGGTGTGGTTTTTGACTGAGATTTGTCAAGGATCTCCACAGTAGCGAAAGGGCACATAAAAGATCAAGGAAGCAAGCGGACACGGCCGCTTTTAGAATAAATCATAATCTCCAACTTGTCCTGAGTTCAAATCCTCACTTATAAATATTTATATAAGCATGTAAATTATCCAAAAAGTGTAATTAACTTTTAATGATTTTTTTCCCTTTTTCCTTTTGATTCTCCAGGAAAAGTGATACTGTTTTCTCATTTTCTCATTATGGTAAATGCTGACCTTTTCTGGAACTAAACAACCCAATGGCCATAATTATGGTACCTTTCTGCAGTGAGTTCTAAAATTAGAATTTCTTGGTCAAAGTCTCCCATTCATAGAAGACCAGATGAATCACACTATGTGACAGAGGATTAAATACTGTGCATTCAAGGCTGCTCTCAACAATAGGAATCTATAATTTCAGAATTTCTATTTTCTATGTTCATTAATAAAGTGACAATTTGAAATCTCAATGTCCAAGCGGGGTGTGATACTTACATGTACAATCCTAACACTTGGGAGGCTGAGGCAAGACTCTTTGATGTGAGTCTGAGCTTGAGCTACAGAGAAATTTGAGCACAAACAACAAAACCCTTAGCTTAAAGTTATGCTCGATAATATAAGCCCTGATTCAAATTAAAGCTCTACGTATCTAAATATTTTGCTGAATAAAATGTTAAACACTTTAAAATAAAGTGTTATTAAAGTGTATTAGAGTGTTTTTTTTCATTTGAGTGTATAATGACTTAAAATATATTTTAAGGCAGGGTGGTGGTGGCGAACACCTTTAATCCCAGCACTCAGGAGGCAGAGGCAGGTGGATCTCTGTGAATTCGAGGACAGCCTGGGCTACAGAGTGAGTTCCAAGACAGGCTCCAAAGCTACACAGAGAAATCCTATCTCAAAAGAAGACATATTTTAGTACCTGTTATCTAAGAGATATTCTCAAATATCACATTACTTGAGAAATTTTTAAATAAATGAGACATCTTAGATTCTCTTCATTCTCAAGTTTCAGAACATCCAAAGGGGGAGGGGGGTTTGAGCAGTTGATAGTCTAAGAAGTCTCTCAGGTTAACCTCTCATGAACCTTAGAGAATCATGATGGTATGAGACATAGCTTCATCTTAGTCAAGGTAGAAAAGAAAGAGGCAAATAGCATGAACTCAGTGGCAAAAGGCTTTAGTTAGAGAGGGACAGAGGTTTAGGTTGAGAAAAATGGGACAATACCAATATGAAGAGATTCAGGCTACCACCTAAAAGGATAAGAAATGGGTCCTTTATCTGATCATTTATGTTCGCTGAGATATCATAATTTTCCACTCATCCTCAGCATATTTTTTTTAACATTAATAAAAATCAGTTTAAGGTAGCTCTTACTTGAATAAGGTAAGTACCAGGGCCTGTTTGTCCTGGAGACGTGATGGTGTTCCCATGCTAGGGGTGGTTTCTTCCCTGGGGTCAGAGTTGAGATGAAAGGAAGCACATTTCACAGACTGGTAGCAAAACTGGTTAGACAGATGCATAGTTAGTAACTCTATGTTAGCAACTCCTAGTTACCACTCTTCTGTAAGTGATAGAAGAGGGGCTAAGTGCCTGAAAATTCTATCTGTCCCTTGTCCCTGTGAGGGGCTCTCTTTAAACCATTGACTTAGCCTCTAAGCTTTGGGGGATATATCTACTCACAAATGCATGCAGTTGCCATAAATCAAAATGAAAATATAGCAGATAGAATAGGAATCCAATCATGAGTGCTCAGTTCCGGTGAGGATTGACAAGGGCTGTTGTGCTATTATTGTACAGGGTGGAACTATAAAAACAACAGCTGGGTACTATATATTTCAAAAATGTAGGAGCACTCTGAAGGTTTTCACCATAAAGTCATTATAAGTATGGTAATATATGTTTAACTGATTTTAAAATTATCCAGTATATAGATGTATTATGCAAACATTGCATCATATTCTATTATTTTGTACCATTTTATATTTTTATTTATATTTCTGTTTAAAGGTAAATTAAGAAAAATATAGAAATTATAAGAGAAATTGTCTAAGGGAACAATGAGAACTTATGGGAGGGGAGGGAGAAAGGAGGGCAAGAGGTATGACATAAAATACATTTTTATAGAGCTATTCTATGCAACACAATCCCATGTACGTGAGTATGCACGATGAAAATTTTAAATTAATTAAACAATACATATGTGTGTACTCATGGGACTCACATTGGCTTCTTTTCTTAGTGACTTCTACCAATCAACCCATTTAAAGACTGGGGTGGCCATGGTGTTGTAAGCCAGTAACCTCAGGAGTCATTAGGCAAGGACTGTGGATTTAGCCCAGCCTGTGCTATATAGTGAAACCATTGACCATTGTGAAGCTTGGATATGGTATAATGGTCACTTGGCCAGAGACAGGGATAGAACTCAAGGATTTCAACTGCCAACACTTTCCCAAATGTCAGGCTGTGAGAAAGTTCAGTAAAGAACTCCACAGAATCCCAACTTCATGTCTCACTGTGCCTCCCACTTAATTCTAGGACTTATCAGATCATTAACTTTTATAACTTAGGACACTGCCCACTGTGGCCTCAATCTGCCCCCCACTCCCACCCCAGCCACCACCTTGTTATCCTATCTTCATCCTCTAGCCAGGATTCCCTCATGCTGAGTGCTTGGCGATTCTTCTGGGACCTTTTCATGCATACCACAGCCCTGGCTTCTTATAGAGACAACAGATTTTCTGTTTGGGCTGTGGAAATGGACATTGGTAAAAAGTCTCCAGCAGATGATTGTTCCTGGATATAAATTTGTACTGCAGGTTTACAGACACCCCACTGGGACACTGGTATGCATGTCAAAACAAAACACCTAACAAAAATAAAATTTCCTGTTAAGTCTGCCAGGTGTAAGCATATTGGTTTTATTTATTTATTTTAGTGTTTGTTCTAATTTTTCTGATAAAACCATGAAGTAGAATTGTCTGGTCACAATTCTTGAAATTTATTTTTCTTTTCCCTTTTATTCTCTTGTTCCTTCTTCTCCAACAATTTGGAATTCCCCTCCCCCGGCCCTGCTTCAGCATTAATTGCCTTTCCTTTCTTTTTCCCACTCCTCTGGATACATTGGGTCATGTTGTACTTAACTTTCTGCTGAGAGAACTATTAAGAACGAGTGAGGTGCACCTCGTGAGCTATTTTGCCGCCTCCAGGAAGAACACAGCCTACTGCTATGATTGATCTGCTCTGGGCTTTTGATCTCGTTCCTGAACAAGGTTTTCAAGGGAAAAAACAATATGAACTGCAGCTGGAGAGAAGCGGCTGAGAAACATTGCTGTCCAGAGCTGTTGGTGTCTCTCCACTGTCTTTGCTGTTCCAGGCAGGGGACAGAGAGGTGGCTGGAGACTGTCCAGGAGCCTAGAGTTCCAAGGTCTTTCTTTCTAAAAGAATTCTGAAAATCTGGGGTTCCAATGTGGGTATTTCTTGAAGTATAGCGAGCCTTCTGCTTAGCTGAGCCGGTGGCTGGGAGAGTAGGTTCCGTGAGGGCATTTCACATCTCCAGGGGGACTCTGCACTTCTCTTGCCCATGTCTTATTGATTTGGGGGATTGGTAAAGGAATGGAGGAAGATTCATGGTAACCATATTAGGAATCTGGGATGGGGGTAGAAGGGGAGAGGGTGGTGGTCCCTTGGTCTGTAAAAAACTTTCCTTTGGAAATGTGTTATAGATGCTCTTAAATGATTGTTCCTCAGACTTGATAAAATGGATCAAAATCATTTTCATTCTGGCCTTGGTGTTTCCTCTTTATTATGGTAAGTCAATTTTCTACTACTCCCTTCCCAGGCATATAATGCTGGAAGCATCCATTATAATTCAGGAACAGATGGATTTTTACACTGGGGTCAGAAGCACCAAACTGGTGAAAGGAAAAGCATTATCTTACATTTTTTTTAGAACTTATGCCAATGAATCGTTTTTACTCCTGTCTTGCTTTAGAAGACTGGAGCATAGAACCTGAATTAGAATATGTAGCAGAAGCTGAGCATATCCATGTGTGCCCATAAAGCCAGTTACTCAAAGGCACAAGGAAAGACAATTGCCAGCGGAGGTCAAGGCCAACTTGGACAAGACAGACAATCTCCTTTAAAAGCAAATCTTAAAAATAATACTTTGGTTTTTTTATGTTGGTGTTATTGATCTTTGGTTAGAGATATTTACACTCATCCCATTTTGAAGGACACATTCCAGCATTGCTAAATGTCATGTGTGAGCTAGATGGTGTCTTCCATGGTGTTCCTTGACATTTTCATTGTTGTTTGTCAGCTGAGTCCTGTAAGTCAAGTTCTGTGCTTACAGAGAAAACTCATTGATTCTTCCACTGACACACACTAAATTGTAGAATAAATAAAGGAATTGAGGGAGATTTAGATCCAAAATACTAACTCTTAATAATTATTAATCAAATTTTCTACATGTCTTTTATGCAAAGCAAATTGACTTTCTTACAAGGCATTTTCCCTCTGATTAGGCTACTTCACATAGAAAGGAAAACTATGGTATCTTTTAAGGAAAATTTTAGAAATTAATAAACAATAACAAACATTTTCAGATTTGAAACCATTCTGCAAACACATTATTTTACTGCTACCACAATTCCTCACCTTACTTTGAAGATCATGAATAAGCAATTTGCACAGGTTACTTCTGCTAAGTACTGTATTTTTCCCTTCTTCTTATTCTTGACTTTTCTTCTATCTGCTGGTTTCAGAAACTACTTGTGCATTTTCAAAAGAAGTCCGTCGTAAGGTAAGTTAACAGTGATTAATTTGTCAATTTTGTAGGAGCCAGAGGTGTTGAGGATACCATGAGAACTTGGCCCATAGTTCTAATCAACTAAGCAGGGCTCATAGGGGCTCACAGGGACTGAAATGAAATTCATGGACCCTGCATGGGTCTGCTCTAGATCCGCTGCACATATGTTATGCTTGCTAACTTGGAATTTTGTGGGACTCCTCACAATGGAAGTGGGGGTGTCTCTGATTCTTTTGTCTGCTCTTGGGACCCTTTTCCTCCTAGTGAGTTCTCTCATTCAACCTTGATATGTCATTGTCATTACACTAAAGACAAGAATGAGTCTTGCCGAAGCTGGAGAGATGACTCAGAGGTTAAGAGCACTTACTACTCTTGCAGAGGAGCCATATTTGGTCCCCATCACCTACTTGACAACTCAAAACTATCTGTAACTCTGATTCCATGAGATCAACTGCCTCTTCTGAATTCTGTGGGCTCTTGCACATGTGTGGTGAGCATATATAAACCCAGGCACATATGCATACACATACATATACACATATGCATACATAATAACAGTCTTGCCAACACTATGCATTGTTTAGCATTATAGACACGATAAAATATCCTATTATCCAAAAATTCCATTAATGAACCAAATCCTTATTGTATAAAAGTATCTAACATATTTTAAAAGATATTTAAAGTAGATTTGTTTATTCTAGCAAGGAAAGAAGATTGAAAGTAATTGAATGATATATTTAAGGGCAGATTAATCATAATTTTTCAAATATTAACACTATTATGTTATATAGATGTGAAGAAGAACTATAGTCCTAAACAAGTGAATAGATAAAAGTTACAAAGAAGCTGAAAGGCAAATTCACCAGAAAAAAAAACCTATTGTTTATTTCTGCAAACCACCAATACTTTCATTATCTATGTCTGTGTAAGATCTTACACATCTATACAAAGGCTCACATATATGAGTGTATATGTCTGTCATGAATGGTTCAGAAGGGCAAGAGACTAAAAGGTAAACAAGTTTTATGATCTCTCATGACTTAAAATAATGAGAGATTTGACATAAATATGAATTGAAGTAGAGACAGGATAACTCTATTCTAAAATTCAGATATCCAAATGCACGGCTTTTTAAAAAATCAGGTTTACCCTGTCTGTATCCTGCCGATGTGTGACTGGATGCCCTCACTCACCACGGCTGTCCAATGCAGCCTTGCCTGAGCTCAAAATGCCTGGCACTATATGCCCGGCACCACCAGGCTCATCGAGGACATGGACAAAAAGCACTTGGTCCTACTTTGATGTGGAAGGACTTAAAGTGTGTGTGTTTTTTTTTTTTTTTTTTTTTTTTTTTTTTTTTTTTTTTTTTTTTTTTTTTTTTTTTTTAAGAGGTGTTGATCAGTTTGCTGCATCAGTCCAGCATCAGACTGTGGAGTGCATCATCCATATGGGCAAAAAGAATAGTGATATTCCTCGAGGGATTTTTGTGGTCAGAGGAGAAAATGTGGTCCTACTAGGAGGAATAGACTTGGAAAAGGAGAATGGCATGCCCCTCCAGCGAGTATCTATTGATGAAATCCTAGAAGAACAGCGGGTAAAACTGCAGGCCAGATGGGAGGCAGAGGAGCTGAAGGTTCAGGCCCTTAAAGATCGGGGCCTCTCCATCCCTCGAGCAGACACTCTGGACGTATACTGAGGCCTTTGCTCTAGAGAGCAAGGGCTGTCACCTGGTCACCTCACACATTTGGCCAGAGACTGTTTAGTCAAAGTGGTCTTAGTCATTCATATAGGCCACCATGAAGAAATCATGCATTTTTTTAAAATAAAATCATTGTATGTTTTGTTTTGTTTTTCTGTTTCAAACAGTCTTGTTATGTAGCTCTGGCTAACCTGAATCTCACTATGTAGACCAGGCTGGCCTCTAACTTGTGGGATTACAGGTGTGTTCCACCATGCCCAACTTTATTGTTTAAAGAAACAGTGACATGACCCTCCTTCACAAAGTCACTGTGGAGTCAAGAATCACATCTTTATGTAGCTTTTCTTATCTCAGAGTTTACATTTTCTAAAAGATATTTCTTCATTTATTTGTAAATAAAGAATGAATTCCATAAAAAATAAAAATAAAAATCAATTTTATAAAAATATATCAGTTATATAATGTATTTGGGTCAGCAAGATTGTTTAGTGAATAAAGGTGCCTGCCTCCAAGCCCCATGTCCTGTGTTCAATCTCAGGGCCTATATGGTAGAAAGAGAGACTGATACCAGCAAGTTGTCCTCTGATCTCTACATGAATGTTGTGGCATGCATGTAGATATGCATGCATGAACACACACACACACACACACACACACACACACACACACACACACACCTGTGCATGCACACGCACATGTAACACAAAATAAATAAATGTAATTGTATATGTATAACATATTTATGTTTAGGCACCTCAATGTTTATATTTAAACTATTCTGTTGTGTGGCTTTTTTTCCCCACAAAGATCACTATATGATAAATCTTGTATTGTCTCTTTATCTCTGACAGCCTGACTGTGAAATGTACAAAAAAGTCCCAAATAAGTGTACCAGGGAGAAGAATCCAGTTTGTGGAACTAATGGACATACTTATAGCAATGAATGTGTTTTCTGCAATGCCAAGATGTAAGAACACGTGATTAAATATTGGCTTTTCCTAAGTAATGAGGAAACTGTAAGGACATGATAGAAAACCCTGTTTCTGATAACCCAGATATAACATACAGATAGTAAACTGTTATTCCTAAGACCATAGTAACTTGCACCCTTCCTTTAATTTCTCATTTGCAAAACTTGCTTTTTTATTTGACCCTTCAGTGTGATTCTAAAGAATACTCTGCAAATGTATCCACTGGTTAATTTAAATGAATTATTGATGAGCATACTGGTAAACAAGATAACATAATTCCAAAGGCAGATGCTGAATAATAATGATCCTGCTGTATGAGCAGAATACTCAAGTATAGAACTCTGAAATCCATCACAATTGAATCTAGTACTAAGGAGGGATGTCTCTGGTGATCCACTCTGTCTACTGAACTTGGGGACAGCTTCCTAACTTTCCTAAGGACCAGGGCAGTCTGGGAGCATTTCCACTCTCCCTCCTGCCTGCCATATCATTCTGAATCACATTCTTTTATCATATAAGGAGCATGCAAAAAAATTGCTTGATGGATGGTAATAAATTCATATATTTTTTAAACTTTAATTCAGCTGTATTCCTACCTCACTCTACATTTTCTCCCTCCCAAGTGTTTCCTTCCATAAACATTTCTGTATAGTTTATCTCCAAAATGTATTCAGCTTCTAGAGGAGAAATAAGACAATTTCTAGTCCTCTTCTCTTTTGGATTGAAGATAGTTGCAAGACAGAGTCAGGACTGGGCTTTTAGAAAAAGTTAAGAACCCCAACACGAGAGATAGGACACGTGCGAGGGTGGAGAATTGGTGAGCTGTAGCTGCTGGTAGGTGGCAGCATCTCTGTGTCAATCATGCCAGGGCCTCCTTGTTGTAAAGCAATGAATGCAATACAATTTACAAGTGCTAACTGAAAATGGTAGCTCAACTCTGTATTTTCCTTCTGACTTCTTTATTTACAGATCCGCTAAAGATAAATTTGATTATCTGCATCATGGTCCTTGTTGAATTTTGTATGGGTTACACATACATCATCCTTTTCCATAGTGGATCCTGCAATCAAGTAAAATTTTCTCAATTGGTGCTTCAGATTCCTAGCAACAAATGAAGTGTTCGGTGGTTCATAGAGTGGAATATAGGATATTAAAGAATTTCTCCAACCTGTGATTGAATGATTTTATTTCAGTTATTTGATGATAGTGTTAAAAATGTTATCTTAATTTTGTGTTTGATAATATTCAGTGCAATTGTAATCATAAATGTTTCATTTAGTAAAATGTTAAATAAATTTCATCTTTATTAGGGATTCTTTATCTTGGAGGCAGATGGTTAAGGTAAATAAATACCTTTAGTAATTATAATTTGTTGATGAAAAAAATAGCTCTCACCTTGAAGGAAATAAGAGATATTTCTGGAGTCCTTTTGGGTAACTGTGAACACAGATTTAGGTTACCCTGAATTCCATGGCCCAACATGGAAGCAATTTTATAAAATTTATATTCTTACAGAACAAAAAAAATTCACAAATCAAGGCAAGTTTAAAATACATTAGTGGGTACATCAGAGAGATGGCTACAGCCAGCAAGACAGGAGAAGCTTTTCTATAGGCTTCTGTAGAGGTTTGAATGAGAACGGCCTCATAGGCTCATATGTTTGAATGGTTGGTCCACAGTTGGTAGAACATTTGAGGAAGGATTAGGAGATGCAGCCTTGATGGAGGAGGTATGTCACTTGGAATAGGCTTTGAGATTTCAAAAGCTCCTACCGTTCCCCTTAGCTCTATCTCCCTTTCCCTCTCTTCTTCTCTCTCTGCCTCATGCTTGTGTATCAGACTCAGCTCTCCGATATCACTCACCATCATGCCTGCTTGATGCCATGCTCCCCACCATAATGGTCATGAACTCTTCCTCTGAAACTGTAAGCAAGGCCCCAAATTAAATGCTTCATTTCACAAGTTGCCTTGGTCATGGTATTTTGTCACAGCAATGTCAGAGTAATTACATCAGCCTCAGATTTTATCTGATGACATTCTTAGTTTGGGGGTTGGTGGAAGCTAGTAGTTAGTTAAGTTAGCAGATTTCAAAGGGGTTTTATCCATTAGTCACAGGATGTTAATTCTGGCATAAAGGTGGCAAGGAATGGGTATACAGGTGGCTGAAACTCCCTGATATAAGGTAATTAGCCTCTGGACAGATGGCATCCTAATCTCCACACATCACTGTTTTTAATCAGTATTGCAGACACAGCTTCTTTCCAGGAATTATCAATCACAAATTCAGGAAGTATTTTCAAAAATGAATAAATAAAGCAATATGTGAGTATTCATCAAAAGTGAAGATCTAGAATCTTCTTTATACTTAACATGAACTCTAGTGAGATATCTGTTAACTTGAATTCTAATAAGTACTTCCTGGTTAGCTATAGTGAGAACCTAAGAATCAGGCAGATCCCTGTTAGGCAAACAGTCAGGGAAAAGAGGCTCCATGTGGTCTCATGTATATTCACTTAAACATTAAAGATGGCCATCTTCCTGATTCTTCTACCTTTCCAAGACAAAGGCTTGGTGAGATGCATCCCCTGTTTGGTAGGCCTTTCTTGGGATAGCTCTTGTGCTGAGAACCAATTAGCTTCCCTTTCTTTGTATGGATTATCCAACCCCCTGTGACAGCCCACATCAGGCAATTCTGAGGGATTAGGAACCCCATTGCATCAGCAAACATAATATTTTGGCTTTTTTGGACACCATAAGAGGTCCCGTCTCCACCTTGGGGAGGATGCGTCTGTGTGTTTTGCAGTGCATGTGTATTTCAGCTTTCATTAAAATCTGGCTAAGTGCTGGGACCTGCTGTATAATATTATTTTAAGATGTGTTACTTTTGTTTAAGTTGCATTTGTTTAACTCTGTGAAGCTGTGTTACTTTACTTGTCTTAAACACCTGATGGTCTAATAAAGAACTGAATGGCCAATAGCGAGGCAGGAGAAAGGATAGGCGGGGCTGGCAAGCAGAGACAATATATAGAAGGAGAGATCTGGGAGGAAAGGGAGAAGTAGCAAGAGAAGGAGGAGGACCCAGAGGCTAGCCACCCAGCTACACAGCAAGCCACTGAATAAGAAACAAAGAAAGATATACAGGAATAGAAAAGGAAAAAGATAAAAGATAGAAGGGATAATTTAAGAAAAGTTAACTAGAAATAAGTCAAGCTAAGGCCAGGCATTTATAATTAAGAAAAAGCCTCTGTGTATTTAAGAGCTGTGTGGTGGGTCCCCCCAAATGAGCCAAAAGAGAAAGAGTAAAAGAAATTCCAATGAGAGACCTTTCTTTTCCCTGCCTTTTTATTCTTTAAATCAGTGGAGAAGAATACCCTGTACCCCTAGGCGACCTCACCATGATGGAATTAGTTGGGAGCCTATTCTGGATGAATACAGGCTCAGTTCTTGCTAAGACAACAATGGGTTTGGAGAGTGCCCTTGTAAACTTCCAGGGCACCTCCAATATCTTGGAATGAGGGGAAAGGAGATGTTAATAGCAGAGCCCTAGGCTGATTTTTTTCCTTCTCCTTTCTTTGAAAGGCTAGCAAGAAAATGCTCCCCTGAGCCTCCCCTTCTAACTCCAATGCCTTGTACTAGACTGTAAAAGAGTTCTTCCAGACAGTTCTCACTGAAATGAATTACTGTAAGAACTTACTGAAAGCTCTTACTGTCCAACTGGCAGCCAGTCCTGTGGGCTGAAATTGATGACATCCTAGAGCTAGTCCCTGAACTCTGGCTTCAGGGAGACTACACAAATATACACCAAAGGAGACTGAATTTTATTATTTTACCGTGGTACACATAATCTTTTTAGATTGTTTCAACCTTCCCTTTTCACCTCAGTAGTTTGAATCAAAATGAAAGGGATTACTTACTAACAAGGATGTTAGGGATGTGCAAAAGTTCTTTAAGAAAGTTGACCATTTAGGGATATTAATGCAGTTTGATATTCCTACCAAAGGCTCGGGACAGAGATCAAGCTAAGGCCTGGCTCACACAGGGTGTGATTACACTGCACAACCTGACTCAGGTGCTGGAAGGAGAGGTGCCGATATCATAAAGGGGGAGAAAGGACAAAAACAAACACCCAGCTCCTTTTCTTAGAAAATGAGTGGGAGAGCACATTGCCTAAGATGGCATTGGGTCAACATTCTTTAAGGACTCCTGAGTGGTTACTCTCAGCCCAGAAACAGACAAATCTTTGCTTTCTTTTAAACTTCCTATATCCCCTATCCTTTCTGCAATACTGAAAGAGAATGGGCACAAGATCCGGGAGACCCTAAGACATCAGACTCTCTCCCTGTTTCATTTCACCTGGGACACCACGTACAGGTCAAGAGTAGGGTACATTCCTTCTTCTCCTCCTTGTCTTCTTCCTCTTCTTCTTCTTCTTGATAGAGAACAAGAGATCAAGAGAGCAAACTGTGACTGTTAGACCCTTTTAAGGGGTGCACTTGTCACATAGGGAATGCGCTGCACCTGGAGGCGGCAGAAGATGACATAAGCTGCCCCCACCACCATGGCCTCTGCTGCCTCGTCACTGAAAGGCAGGTGGGTGGGGCTAACCACCTGTAATTCTTATGTATTGAGAACTCTTGGTCTTCCCCCAGCCCACTTTGTCATGTCTATTGTTCTTGTCCTTGTTCATCTCAGGGACAGTCAGTCGTGTTGATGAGACTTTATGGCTGTTGTTACTGACATGAATCTAGCTAAGACCATGGAAGTTATGGATATTGGAGATAATCCGATGACTACCACTCTACTAAACCAGCATACCCACTAACTACATTCTAAATATCTGTTCTTCCACCCACAGGCGATTTCTTTCTCTCATTTTTAAGAGATTTTCAATTCATTTTACATACCAACCACAGACTCCCCCCTCTTCTCCCTCTTCCTGCCCCCAGAGGAGAATTATGAGTAGTTGTGAGAACACTCCAAGAAAACAAGAGTCTTGTGACCTCAATTTCTTCAAAACATGGAATAGTTCTTGGGACAGGGTTTCATGCTTTGCCCAAGTGTAGCCAATAGTGGTGTGTTTACTTCTAATGACTCATTATTGCTTACAGCTGTTATTCAATTAAATGTTCAAACTATCCTTTATGTGCCTCTATGGAAAAACATGTTCTTGTCATGTGTGGCATATCCTTGTGACTGTACACAGTTTGAGCTCATGAGAATCTTACTTATGTGATTTTTCTTAACCCTCTAAATACAAATTGTCTGATGTTCCGAATAAAATTGGCTACTGCATAAGACTTTAGGCTGCCTCATTTATAGGCTCCATCCTCCCAAGTCCCACTGCATCCAGAGTGATGATAGGCTATGAGTTGTTCAGGGTACTATTTGAAATATACCCTAGGATCCCACTTCCCTCTTCATGAGACAGGAGGTCACTTTAGTCTACTTTTCCTCAAATATTAGGACCCTAAACTACTACGTAGCTTCAGGAGAAGGGAAAGAGTTCTAGCTGTGAATGAAAATTCCCGGAAAGCTGCTGTGTCTGCAAAGGCAGATTGATTGATTAGAACTGCAGTGATGTGGAAAGATTGGGGGGCTGCAGATGTGAAGCTAATTACAGTTTGCCTTCAGCCATCTTCACCCACCTGTGTGTCAGACCCCAACTGTGACTAACAGATGAAAACCTCCTGAAGTGAATTAACTTAACAAAACCACAGTTTCTACCAACCAAAGACTGAGATTCATCTGATACATCATCTGGGGTCCTATAGCTGAGGTTTCTCTAATGACTTATACCCACCCATTTAGTGTTTCCACCACTGTATTTGAAGAGCATCTTGACTGATGGCTTTCTGTTCTGTTGCTATAGAAATGTCACAGAACTATCTTCGTGTTGGATTATGATGTTGTAATAATTTAAATCTGTGTACCCAGGCCATGGTCACTCCCATTTGGCTCCAGCATAAACTACCTCATCCCCTTCGAGGTGAGAGTTGTGGTTTTGCATCACTATATCTTTCAAGCATCAGGCTCTCCTTGCCGTGATCTATTCTTTCTGGGAAATGTTAGGAGGGAATTCATATGCTTCCAGGAATGAAGGCATCAGAGATATCTACGTCACAAGTGAAAATATCAAGCATTAAAACCATGGGATGGGTAAGTGAGCCACTCC